GTATTCTTGGTCAACTATGGAAACTGACTATATCTATTATACCCGAAAATGTCACAAATGTCAGATTTATAGCGATATGATACATATCCCTCCTCATCCGTTGCATGTGATGACAACTAGATCAGGTTCGACCTTCGAAGTAAATTAATCTTAAGCCTTCACGGAAGATTAGTAAAGCAAATCAATCTCGAGTCTGATCTCCCCTGAATGAATAGTGGAGTAGACTCATTTTCTGAAGATTTTTCAAGTCCTATACTCCTTGAAAGACGAGGGAGTGGACCCATTTTCCGAAGATTGTTCAAGTCATATACTCTTTGAAAGAAGAGGGAGCGAACCCATTTTTCGAAGATTGTTCAAGTCCTATACTCTTTGAAAGAAGAAGGAGAGGACACGTTTTCCAAATATTGTTTAAGTCCTATACTCCTTGATAGAAGAAGGAGCAGACCCATTTTTTGATCATGGCCGATCTCCCTGAAGTTGCAATGGAGCAGATTAATCTTTTGAATTTATCATGGCCGAAAAAATGTGACCATTCTTTGATCTTTTCTCTATCCTCGTTGCATGATAATGAGCAAAGAGGGGCAACTGTAGAAGCTCATTTTGTCCGAGGTTTATACTCTAGTTTCAATTGAGTTTTTATATTTTAGTAATTATATTTATATTAGTTAGATTTATTAATTAATATTGTTAAATTAAATATTTTTTTAGGGTATTTATATGTTATATGTATTATTATTATATAGATTATAAATAAATTATTAATATTAAATATATACATATATTAATTGAACTTTAACATAATACTAATTAAATATTTTATTTTTTACAAGGCCCAATTTTAAAGTAACACTACACTCAGTCCAAATGGAGACAAAATTGGAGAAGACCCGTGCCCAATTGAAGCAAGCCTGGATCAATGTTAAGCCCAAATATTCTAGCCCACTAGTGAGAACCCTAAACTCATCAATGTGCTGACCGTTAAATCAAGTTATTGATCCAACAACCAAGATTACCCCAAAGATGCCATAAAAAGCCAGTTGTTCCTCTTCAATCGTTTCGCCTGTACCTGCAACAAAATAAAAAAAAAGATGCCAGAGATGCATGCACAAATAGAAAGGGAAAGAGCAAATAAAAAAGATGTGCATCAACAATTAAGGACAGAAGCAAGAAAAAAAACCTAGAGCCATCAGCTATAAAACATAGAAAAATATTTGCTTGTAGGGATCTCTCGACCTTAATTCTTTGGAGGTAAGCAATAGAAACTAGGCATTTTTTCTAGCATTCGAATACAAGAAAGAAAAGTTGCAAGGAGTCTCACCATTGTATTCAAAAACCGAGGAAGAAACAGAAAGCAAAGAACTATTTTTTGGTATTTTCTATCTTCCTTTCAATTTCCAGTATTCTTTATGGGTGTTCTTATTTCTAAGAAAATAAAAGATATGAGAAAAGAAAGAGTTTAGTTTTGCTACCTTTTCTTTTGTTGATCATATCATTGTCGGAGTGTAGGTCGCCGTTCATTAGGGAGTTCCTTACTGGAAAAAAATGTAACATATTGTTTTTCTCTCATATTCGATACAGGCAAAAAAACACATAGGAATATTTTTTGTTCAAAGGTTTTCCTTTCTTTGATTCCCAACAGTTATTTTCAGTGTTTGTTTTTTTTTTTTAAAAGTTAAAAGAAACTAGAGGAAGGAGAGGGTTTTCAAATACAAAAAACAAGAGCTTTTAAAAGAGTAGCTTAGTATAAATCTCGAGGAGTAGTACGAAGAAAAAAAAAGGGCCTCCTTTTCGAAGGAATCGTTCTTCTCTATTATAAATCTCAAGAAAATTAGTGGGTTTAATATTAGGTTACCTGGATCGTGGAGGTTCTGACGCCGAAGAGAGCCTTCGAGCTTCGTTCTTCGTATGTTGGGTCTTCATCGGAGAACCCAAAAAGGGCACTGGTCGTTGGTGGTCGTGGCTCTATCTTCTCTTCAAAGAAAGTGAAAAATGAAATAACGGTGGTTTAGAGATGGAGAGATGCGACTGAGTTGTTTAGTTTAAAATTAAGTTAGGCTTAGTTTAAGTCCATTGTTAGGATTATTTTCTTCAATTAGTAGTCATATTTATTTTGCATGTTGATACGTTTTGAGATGTATAATTATGTGAATTTTTTTTATCTGCGAATCGTATGACATTTTTTTACAGGAATTGTATAATATCATCATGTGCATAACTTGACTCCTATCACATAATTAGATTAAGGGTAATACCCTTTTAATTTAAATTTTTTTTGAGGGGCTTCTCTTAACTTATTAGAGAGCCACTTTCGACGATTTTAAATTGAAAGTGTATCCCAACGGTGAAACCTAAACAAATGATTTACCATTTAAAAATTGGGAACGAAAGAAAGAGAAATGGTCGGTTATTTAAATTTTTTGAGAAAAGATTGTTAGAACTTATCTAAGATATGGTCTCGATATTTTTAAATAATCGAATATTCTTCATCTTTCTAAAAAGACTTGGTAATTTTAATTTAATCTATTTTTGTGCATTTGAATATTACAATGAAATTATAATATTTCTGTATTTCGATTGGAGTAAGAATTGATTACCTCAAGTTATGAGGGATTTATTTCTTCTCGATAGGAAATAATTAAATATTATTATATTTCATTATAAAAATTATTTTTTGTTCTTTTGTGGGATCATAAATTAAATTAAATTTGAATTTTTAAATTTCATGCAAATAATTAATTAATCGTCTAGGTATCGATTTAAGACGCTGTGGGGTGTTGATCATTCCTCACGCGTAACCGACTTTCGAACTCTAATTGTGGTAACATAGACCTTAATTTTTATTTTAATTAAAATTAATTTTTATTTAAAATGACAAAATATTTTTTGGTGCCCAGTCACACCCTAATCAAAGATTGGTTACGATTCCTCGAACCATACGATTTTTTAATTTAACAAGTATCTTAAATTTTTCGAAACAAGAATTTTTTTAAATCACATTTAGTTTTTTAATTAAAAACTAATCATAAAGAAATAATTAAAATTGGTGTGACTTTTAAAAATCTCATTTTTAAGAAAAAAAACGTTTCGACATACAAAATCCATAAAATCTCGAGAGCGATGAAATGACAACCAATATCACGAAAACGGGGGACGCCATTGCCATTGCTAATAACTTTCAGGTGGTTGATGGTTTAAATGTCTTCTCCAAAGCCTCTTTTGAAATATTAAGCCACGTGTAGAGAGGTTTGCACAGTATTTCTATCTTCTGGTATAAAATGGAAACTTGCCACTTTTGGAGTCCTGTCCGCGACTTGGTGTATTTCTATCTTCTAAATGTTTTTGATATTAGGAAAAGAGATGTTGACTTCCTGGATTGCCGTTTACCAAGAACATGGCCATGTATTATATTCGATCTTGCAATCATACAAGAGATTGTTCTGTCCCTTTGGACCTTCCTTTGAGCTGCATTCACTGTATCTTGTTTGCACCACCCACGGCTCTGATGCTTTTCAAACTTTATTCCATCAGTTGAACTCAGATTCAGTTTTTACAAAGTATCCCGGCGAGCTCCCCAGTCTTATCAACCATCCTGCAATGAAGGTCCAACTCTTTGTTCTTGTTCTCGGTATATTGGCACAGTTGCCTGTGCTAATAGCTGTCTTTATAGAACCTTATAAAATGTACCAGATTAAGCCTCATTCTTCATTGGTCTTTACATACAACGGGTCCACTGATATTCAAAAGTATTGCAGCTCTTTTCTAGCCTCAGCCTCTGAACTAAAACCAGATGAAAACAGGGGAAGTAGGCTCAAGAATGAACTCTCCTTTTATATAGGAGATTGGGAGCAGGAAACTGATGATGCACCATTGATATAATTCGATGAAGACGGCACTGTCGATGCAAATTCCTCACTCAAGTTGGTATCCTTTGAAGTCAAAGATGTCAATTCTATCCAGCAACTTAACAACACTGTAAGTCTCGGAGGGGTTCTATCCCTAAGCATATCCAAGGATAGTTCATTCGCTTACAATGTCAGCTTATAATCTAGGATGCATCTCCGATCATCCGTAGTGAACATTGTTTTCGAAGGGATTTATATGGAGACACAAGAGAATGGAATTGAACGTTTGATGTGGTTGGTAGGAAGTTCATCTTCAACCTTACCTTCTACCGGAACATGTGACTGTGACGAGATCTGGGAGCTTCAAACCAACCAGTTCTTAAAAAAAATCAACTCCAAATAAATTCACCATTGCAATATCCGCAATAACAGCAATATAAATCCATGGTTTGTGAGATGAATGTTTCTGATGAAATAATTGATGTTAGCATACCAGGTAGAACGAAACAGAGTTAACAAAGAGCATTCAAAAAGATTTGGGGGCTGCAAAAAATTGTTTTCGAATGCATTAGGTTTGCGCCCAGCTAAGGAAGACAATACAGACAAATAGATCGAGGGAGTCTCCTGAAAATTTAAAATTAATTTATATTTTAAATTTTTTCTATGTATTTTCCATTGAAAATATGTTTTCGTTCCCCTGAAATTTTATAAATTCAAGTTTACTCTCCTAGGATTTTAAAATTTCAAGTTCACCCCTAATATAAAATTATGCGTCAGCCCCAAATACAATAGAAAAGAAGCTGTTATGGGTTTTTCTTATAAGCTACTACGAGCTCCATGGACTGTTACTACTGTACGAAAGAACACGTAGCTTGAATGTATATTACTTTTGACATGCTAATAGACATTTTTTGTGTTTCCACATCATATTTGTGTTAGAAAATAATGCTACAAAAACTTTACTAGGTAAGAAGAAATCAAAATTATGAAAATGAAGTTTAATTACCAAAGTGATTAACCCTCTTGCACTCTCTGCGTTCATATACACTATCTTACAACAAAAACCTTGGGTATTCATGTTTACACCGACTTCCATCACAAAATCATCATACAACCACATATGTGCCTGCCTACTTCATAAATCAATTTCACCACACAAAAAAAATGTTTTCCGGCGGTGGTCCGGTGTAAGGTCGGTTGACCCGAAGATGTAATTAACACAAAGAACTAAAGTTGCAGGTACATCCGTAAAACACATTTTTGTATAAAGAATTATGGGATGTGAAATCTGAGTGGAATTAACTAGGACACCATTTGTTTTACTTTGCAGCCAAATCTCGAAGCAAATACTGGGTGGCTATGAACTTCTCTCTCAGCATGGCATTGTAGTCATATAAACGTTGGAAATTCTTCTGTATATCAGACAACTCCATCTCTGAACCAGATTTCAATTCAGCAGTAACAAGGATTAAAATTAGCAACTTTTAACGAAAATATCTATAGGAGATTTCGAAGAAGTGGATGCATACAGTTTCAGTTCATCACACTGAAATGTCTATGTTTAATAGGCTATTTCAAAACCTAGTCGTTAGTTTTAATTGAATCGCTCATCTATGAGCATATTGAAGTACAGTTCCCGGATATAACCCTTCAAATACATGAAAAAGATCGACAAAACTAACATATTCAAATTCAACACCCATCCTAACTCCAAGTAACGTAGTAGATAAAGAGAATAATAATAATGGAGTCAACGCTCAACACCAGTAGTTTAACATATAGTATGAAATCATCTCGATGTACACCTAATAGCACTGTTCATACCTAGCGCAGGAAGTGGGAGAATGATATCGTCACCAAGAGGAAGTGCTTGATGCTGGACGGTAATTCCATTATTTGAACCGATGCAATGTTTCGTCCTGTCCAGAGCAGATCCAGATATATCGCATTTGAGGGCCTGCATATAACATGCATGGAAAACTTCAGAATTTTATCAAGAACCCTAAAATATCTCGGACTCTCTTTTAACGAGTCCTAAAGGTTTCGGTCTCCCTTTGACGGGCTGAATGATTAATCAGAAACCTCAGTTTAAAATCAAATGATAATGCTTCCAACATAGATGACTAAGAATTTTTTTTTCTTTCATGTTATACATGCTTCCAACATAGATGGCAGAATTTTTTTTCTCTTTCATGTTATACATGTACTATTAGGCAACTGAATAATTTGGCCATGACTACCAGAGATATTAGTAATTATGGGTAACTTGTGTTTAACTGAACCTTCTTTAAGTGAGCTGAGTACGGGAATTCGGGTTAAAAAGAAAGTGTTTACGACCTGAACTTAATTAACGAAAGAAGAAAAAATGAAATTAGGTTGACATCGGAAGAGAGAATGATAGAATCTACCTTTTCACTGCTGAAATGCTTGCGAAAATTAGGCCCGTATTTGTTAGCTGCCTTTGCTTCCTCGATGTTCCACCTCCACGAAGTGGTCCATTACCATGGACCGATGGAAGCATGAGAGGGCCACAACCAGGTTCTGTTTTACAGAGTTCGTCAACATCCAGTTTTCCGCAATTCAACGTGTACATGACATATTTTCTCACCTGGTTAAGAAAAGCACCTCAACTGTTCTAAAGGACTAAATCAGAGAGAAATACTAGAACTGATTAATATGCATAGGCTATATGTTCTTCTGAGAAAGAAAGTATTTTATCCCAGTGTTCTTGAGCTTTTCTTCTATTTCTGATCTTCCGTAAAATACTATCTTCGTTGCGAATCAGTTTTATTCTAAACTCACACTACAAAGTACAAATCAAGTAGGTCATATAGGAATATTGAATACATTAAAATTAAACAATCTGTTCTTGACAGTATAAGGTCCTCAATCATCACTTTAAATCTTTATAATATATCCAGAAAACCAAGGGAGAAAGGAAGAACTAAATGATGAAGTCCTGCGGGACACGACTTACTTGCACTAAGAGAGAAAAATGTCACCATCCTTGCAATATAGCTCACCAAGATCTGCAAGGAATCCCACTGCAAGTCGAACAAAGCAATAATGCATTAACATATAAAAGTATCCTACAAAATAATGCACTCAACCACGAAAAAACATAAACATAGAAAGCCGAGACAACCATCAACATGGCAGATGATAAAATATGTCAGACTGAATCACATACACATGAACAAAGCAAATTTACTCACCAGCCCGTATTATATTTTGATTTTCAGACTCAATGATGTAGGAAGAAAGATAATTGACGTAAAATGTAGTGTTGATTAGTCGATCATTAGCATTCTCCAGTGATGCCTGGAGCTGAGAGGTTTCACACACAATCGACCCTGGGACGAATTCATGAAACAGGGGTTGAATTAGCCTCAGATTTTTTTACACTGCGATATAGATGGGGAAATAAATTGAATATTAGTATGTTTGTGTCTGCCCCTCTGAATGTAACTGGGCTATTATCAGAGTCGCTTCCATTCTTCAGTGTGCCACTAACAAAACTAACATGATCACTCCTGAAATGATCTTTTGCGGTTACATTGAACTGAAAACCCACAGCACTAGCAGGGCTGTTCGGAAGATCGACGAATTGCCATGAAATGGAAAAATAATCTTGATGGAGTCGGCAATTGCTGCACTTGAGTTATGGTTGGCCCCAAGCTCGTATTGTGGCATGAAAAGTTGAGAAACTCCAAAAGAGCGGAAACTTTGTCTCCAATGAAGCCGAAACTTCCGGTAAGTAAAATAGTAGGACGTTGCAAATTTGAGCAGCTCATACTAGAAACAATCGTCATGTTAAATTCCATGTCGTTCCTGAAGAGAGCTAGGTCAGGTGCATTAATCGCTTTCACGTTATGCACTTCAATTGTTCTATTTGCAATGATTTGGTAAAGCAACCTAAGATAAATTATGGAAAGTGTGGGAGCAGAAAAATCCATTTGTTATGAGCAAACATGTTAACATGCTTTTATTCTAGTTTCTCAAATCATAATCATTCCTTAGACATATGAATTGGAAATTTAACAACGCTGCTTTTTAAACTTCCTATGTAAGATCAAAATGACTAGTTTCAACAATAATACACTCAACTCCAAGTAAGCAAAAGTTGAATACTTCTTGACAAAACACATTAACAAGGGCTTGTAAATTAGGTAATCAAAAACCAATCCCTAGGTTACACCCAAATTTTCAAGACAATCTAAATATCAACCAAGTCAGTAAATTGAGCATGCTATCATCCAATGCATCATTGTTGCTTCAACTCTAAATGTTGGTTGAAATACCCATGTCCGGCACATACTAGGATAAATGAAAAAAGTCGAACATAATCTTGTCCAAGTAGTATCCGTATCGAACACTTGCACCCAAGTCCGATTAAAATTGCTAAATATACTAGTTGACTGCAAAAAAGAAATCCCATTTAAGAAAAATGCATACAAATTCATGTGGTGCATGGAGAAAGGAAAAGAACCATTATCAGTTATCACTACAGACGGATATAGTTAGAACCTCAAACTTCCAGATTAAACATCTCAAGTTCGAATCCCAGAGAAGTGAGTTGACTTTTTCTTGAATCTAGTAAGTATTTTTTCAGAATTTTCTGAACTTATTGACAACCTACGACTATTCGAATCAAAACCTCTAAAGAGAATAAGTTTACGGTGAAACTACTTGATGGTTCAACTAAACTACGAAAAAAAGGTTAGTGTGAGAAGAGAAAAAGGACTAACCAGCCAATGTCTTGTAGCAAAGCAAACATCCAAGCGACTAATCCACCACCTAATCTTAAACCAAACATTCCTGCCGTCACCATGATTTGTAAACCTCAAGAAGAAGCAAAAAAGGAGCCAAGAAAGTAACATCACAAGAGTAGCTTCCAAGAACACGGCTTGGGATTTCGTTTGATTCTCAATCGAATCAAACGAAATAAAGGTCTTGGGGAAGGAGATAGCATAGTAATCAACCCCAGAATCAGTTTTGATAGCTGAACTTGGGTCATAGGTGATGCAGTTGTAGGCTGAAACGTTGAGAAAGCGACCAACTTGGCAGGCACAATGGCTGCCGTTGTATAAGATTGAATTTTGGGGGCAGCTAGCCATTTCTCGAGCTTCAAATTAGCATGATTTGGATTAGTTTCAAGATGAGATTCCCAAGGTTATTTCTTTTTTTTTTCTGACAAAGATTTGGGGCAAAGGAAATTGTCGGATCTTGTTGTCTGGAAAGGGAAGGTGTTAAATCGTGAGAGTTGGAAGGTCTGTTTTTCGGTTAAGTTTAATAAAAAAAAACTAAAAAAGAAAACTTCGAAGGGAAGAGCAAGAGGAAATGAAACGGATGTTTGAGACTATCAAATCTCAATGACCTGCAAAAAAGTCTTCGTTTTCTTGACTTTTGTTTATAAACTACGTATGTAGTATCTAAATTATTATCATTTTTCTGTTTTTGTACCTAAATTTTATTTTTTTAAAGTCAATCCATACTTAATTTTTAAGTTTAGGTTTTATTTTGATACCCGTCGTTAAAATTAATAAAACTATTGATGTGACAATTTTTTAATAATTCATGGCATTATCTTATTGTGTCACATCAACAATTATATTATGTTTTTAACTTATAATTTTTTTCCAAACACCCCACCACCTCCACTATATTCACATGAAGCATCCTTCATGAAACACCAACCCAAGATGGTTTATTGGTCGCACGATAAAATAGTTACTTTGATAAAATATTATTTATGATCTTTTGAATCGAACTAGATGTTTAATTTTACTAAAAATCCTTATATCTTAAGAAAAAAATTCATTCAGCTTAGGCGTAGAATGATATACGCACATCCTTTCTTTATGTTGTTGAAGGATGATGCTTGATTGTTTTCCTATCTAGGAAGCAAGTAAGTTATCTTCGCAATGTAAGTAAGCTGCAAAAAAAGAAGTTTGATAAAATGATGTTGAAGTTGGTGTGATGATGACTCGATGTAAGGATGAACTTTAGGGGCTAGTTTTAAAGATAAAGATGGTGTGAAGATGGTGTGAAGATGGTGGTGAAGATAAATGAACCTATGTTAAAGAACATAGACCCAAACCTTATAAGACCTCTGAATGTTGGAACAAGGAGTTAGACCATCTAGTTATAAAATTAGAAACCACCAGTATCAAAGAAAGGGTTGACACCACAAGTACAAGGCTTGATAAGTCGGTGCAGTTCTATAAAGAACAAATGGAGAGAAAATATCACAAGAATAATTTGTATTGAATGTAATGAGTTGTGTTACAAATGCCATATGGTTGGTTATTTATAAGAAACAAAAGAGGTGGCTGAAAAGGCATGGTGATGGTTTGGCTAAGTGTGAAAAGGCTTGTGCCTTCTTGAAGTCACATAATGTTTTAATGAATGCACATACCTCTTCTTCTTTGGTGCCAATGTTGTCGTCCACTCCCTTGATAAATAGGTCCTTGATTTGGTCACAACCCTTCATGATATAAATGAAAGGGCACAAATGGAGTGTCATAATGCTTGATGATGGTGACTTTTTGTTGGGATTTATGAAGCTCAAAGATCAACCGAATAATTGCCAGGAGGAGCAAGAGTCACCATCATCAAGCATTATGACGAATTATTTTTGAGCATAAAACAATTTTCTGTGTACGGTGCCAATAGTGACTTCTCTTACCTTTGGTATCGGTATCACATGAACAATATCGATAATATTCATATAGTATCGATACTGTAAGAATAGTATCGGTACTATGTACACAGAAAACTGTTTTATGCTCAAATTCTAGTTTAGTAGACTTTGAATTATTTTGAAAACTTTGAACAAATTAAATTAAGACCAAAAAATATTTTACCTTAATTTGTTATATCAAAATATTATTAAACATGGTTCAACACCTTTTATGAAGAGGTACGATGAAGAAACGGCTCCCTAATAACTCTTTAAGAAAAGGACTGTCACTTTGAATGATACCTCTTGATGATTAGTCATAATGTTTGATGGTAACATTTGGTAAAGAGAAATGACTCTTGGTAAAGAGACACGACTCTTGGTGAAGAGTCACAACTTTTGGTAAATAGGCATAACTTGAAATGACACCTTTTGGTGAAGAGGCACGAGTTGAAATGGTGCAAATTGATGAATAGACACATTCTTCGATGAAACATCTTTTGGGTGAAGAGGCATGACTTTTGGTTAAGCACCTCTTGGTAAAAATAAACAATTTTTGGTGAGGCACCCTTTGGTGAAGAGTCATGACCCTTCATGAAAAAGTATGTCCATAAGTGAAGCATTGCATCCCTTCATCTCCAGTCATCCTTTCATGAACAAGCATGTCCTTAGCTTTAAGTTCCATAGTCGTTGGTTCCCTTAAAATGCCTTAGCTGTTTGTTCCCTCCAAAACCAAATCATAGTTTATGTTAAAACTATATATTATTACTAAAGCATATTCTATAACATGTCTATCATCCATGCCTAAGTTTAGAATGAATATGCAAGCATATAGTATATAAATAAGACGAATAAACTAAGATGACTCGTGCATGCAATAAACTTAATCTATGCTTATGATAAATATGTGTATTATAGGTTATGTCATGATTATCATATAATATACAATTCATCGTAATTAATTAATGTAAACATGTTATGATAACCTAAGACATAATGTAGAATGCTAAGTATAATCTTAGTATAACATAACATGAAAAGTATGATATGTTATCTTAAACATATTATGATATGAACATGCATACTAATGATTAAAGAATATGCATAAATGGTATAAATATGTGTAAGTAAAGAAATAGCTCCCTCTACTTTCATCCTCATCAAGAATAAATATGAAAGCGTTGTCAACAAGAGTATGCAGTTGGATAGGATCACATCATCCCTCTTATTTAAAGTGATTTGTCTTCAAATCGATGCTTACTACAAATGGGAACAATTTTAACTTTATCTGAGCAGGGAACTTTTCCTCTAGCAAATGTATCTAGAACCAATCTTCTGGATCAAAGTCTTATCGCTTGTGACCATTGATTTCATATTGCTTAGTCGAATCACAAATGGTTCTCTTGTGGTACTTGTTGATATTTGGCTTACATTGTTCAAAACTTTTCAGGAACTCATCCTTATATGGCATGCAATCTTCCTTTGTCTTCGTACTCCTTCGAATGATTGCCCTTGAGTGGATAGATAGACCTCGTTTCACATCTTTAGTTTGAACAATTATTTGCCAAATGGAAGATTGTTGTTTGGTTTCAATTTTGATATCCAAACTCATCTCAAATTTTCAAATAAACTTATCTTCACAACTTGATGTTAGAGTATGCCCAAAGACCAATCATGAGATGATTGTAATGATACATTCTATTTACCAGTTCTATTGAATAAAGGTATTGCCATTGTTCATTTCAGTTATATCTATGTGTCTTCAATAAACTGAAATATAATAAAGTTCATATAATTATATGATTATTATTAAATATCTTTAGTCGAGTATTATTATGGTCATGGAAAATAATAATACGTTTAAGGCTAGCATGTTGTTGGTTGATGACAATAAGTTGTCATTGACATTGAGATGACAGAATCAATGCATGAATATGTTGTTAGAGAATGACATATTGGAATGACCCACTATGAGCATATATCTTGGATTATTATGTAATACCCCAAATATCAGGTCAGAGACTATTGAAAAGATTTGAAATTTGAAGACTTATTTGAATACATGGTAAAAGATAAGAAAATGATTTAAAATAGTGTTTTAGATTAAATTGTAGCAATAGATGAATATAGAGGGTATTTCAATCTTTTAAGGAGAAATGAATTAAAATTTATCCTTATTAGGGATTTTAGGAAGAAAAGGGGAAAGTAGAAACAAAGAGAGTTATCTCTTCTTCTTCCCATGCAAGGACCACCCTCCATAGCCCAAAGGTAAACTTCAATTTAATCAGTTTTTCCTTTCGATTATGGGTTGTTGTTACAACCTTAAGTGATATGTAAGCTAAAGGGAGGGTTAAATAAGATTAAAACAAAGGTATGGATGAAATATTAGAGATTTAAGAAAATGAGTTTTGAAATGATATGTTAAAATATAAGTGTTTATGGATGTTTATTGGTAGATTTGACTTGTCAATGAGGTAAATGAGAGATTGGAAGCATTGGATAGGATTAAGAACATATTAGAAAAAATAGTGTGATTCTTAGAACTGAATGTTCTTGGAAGATTTTAGATGTTTTAAGACACTAAATGAAGGAAATTTAGTATGAATAGGTAAAGAAGAGTTTAATAGTATTATATGGTGTAATTATAACAAAATTTGACCCCATTTATGTAATAATCATGTTGAAAACCGGATAATCTGGGCAAGGGTATCGGTACTGATGAAACAATACTGATACTATAGGCTAAAATGGGATGAATTAGCTATGTAGTATCGATACCATGGTAAGGGTATCGATAATAGGCAACATCGAATCTAAAATTGGTATCGATACCGGAAGGGGGTATTGGTACCATAGTATAGAAGTATCGGTACCAAGGTAGTAGTATCATTACTATTGAGCTTGGAACGACCAATTAGGTTGAAATTGTTATAGAAAATATAATAATATGTACTCTTGAGTAATGTTTAAGTATAATTGTTAGGAAATATACTAATAATTAATATTGTATGTGTCTTTATGGATGCTTGAGTAGATCGAAATCAAGCTCCCGAGTCAAGCAAAACAAAAGGTAAAGGCAAAGTACCTGATTAATCAACTTTGCATTTTGGATATAATAGTGAGGCAATCCAGGTGAGTACATTATTATAATTATTTGAGATGAAGAAGATCTATACTGATTCAAATTAGAACGTTTAAATTAATGTATGTTCTATAGTTTTGACTACGTTATTTATTATATATATGAAAAGAGTATTATGAATGAGTTTTAGAGTATGAATTGCTCTAAATCGAATACATAAATAAAATGCATGAAAGGATGCCATAAATAAAATGCATGAAATGGTGCATTAAGGCATGAAAGGATGCCATAAATAAAATGCATGAAAAGATGCATTAAGGCATGAATGGATGCCATAAATAAAATACATGAAATGATGCATTAAGGCATGAAGGGATGCCATAAATAAAATGCATGAAAGGATGCATTAAGGCATGAAAGGATGTCATAAATAAAATGCATGAAAGGATGCATTAAGGCATGAAAGGATGCCATAAATAAAATGCATGGAATGATGCATTAAGGCATGAAAGGATGCCATAAATAAAATGTATGAAA